GGCCTGGCCACCATGTGTCTCAGGCCTCACACTGGGAGTCCCCTGCTCACCTTCAAGATCGCCTTCACAAACCCTTTTTCACCCTTAGGTTCAACGACCCACCCAAAGCCGACGTGTTGGAGGATCACGAAGCGGAGGTGAGCAGAGGTGATGTGGTGTGCTTAGAGTCCAGTCCCTTCTCTGCTCATCTCCTTCCCCATCTCGGAACATGCAGGGTTGCCCAATGTAGCAATGAAGAATGACAAACTCGCGAGACCAATTTCTGTTTGCTTTTCCGTTTTTGCAGCTAACAAAAGTAGGCTCTTCATTCTAATGGTTTTTAGCCCTAACTGGGAGGTCTGGGCCCCAGCCTGAGATTCTAATTCAGTCATTCTGGGATGGGGTCAGGCATCTCTATATTTTTTAGATGTCCGGAGTGATTTTGATTCCTAGCCAGGGTCAAGAACCAGTGTTGAGCCGTGAACTAAAGTGTTAACAGAATCTGACTGCCAGCATGAAGTATGGCTTAGGGACTGTTAACAAACTGAACCCTGCCCAGGGATAGTCAGAACCTCTGTGTTTAGATAAAAGTAGCCAGAAAGAATAAATGTGACAGGGATGTAAACATTCTTCTAGTGATTAGGCGTTGCTCAGAGGCAGACCTTGGAAAGTGAGTGGGACAAAGGTGCTTATGGACAACTGCCACATTTTACCGATGTGGAGATTGAGGTTGGAGAGGTTAAGCAACTGGCTCACTATTCACACAAGCCAGTGAAGGGCAGCAGCTAGAATTGCATGCCTCTGTTTTCCTTCTTCACTACTTGGGACTCAAGAAGATGGGAGAGCAGTTGACCGAGCTCAGCTGTGCTTCTCTGCCTATTCCTTTCTTCTCCCCTTTCAGGCCGAGGAGCCAGAGGCTGGCAAGTCTGAGGCGGAAGACGATGAGGACGAGGTCAACGAACTACCAAGTTCCCGCCGGACCTGGCGAGGCCCCATCTCACGCAAGGCCAGCCAGAGCAGCGTGTATTTACAGGAGTGGGACATTCCATTTGAGCAGGTGGAACTGGGTGAACCCATTGGACAGGGCCGCTGGGGTCGGGTGCATCGGGGCCGCTGGCATGGCGAGGTGGCCATCCGCCTGCTGGAAATGGATGGCCACAACCAGGACCACCTGAAGTTGTTCAAGAAGGAAGTGATGAACTACCGACAGACACGGCATGAGAACGTGGTGCTCTTTATGGGGGCCTGCATGAACCCACCCCACCTGGCCATCATCACTAGGTAAGCAGGCCTCTGCCCTCACTTGGGCCCCACCAGCCCAGACTCCCCTGTCCCTGGGAGCCCTGCTGTTTGTATGGACACAGAATATTCATGAACAACAACACAGACATTTAATGTGTTCTGGGATAGGTCAAAGGAGCCCTGGTAGCACTATAGGAAATGAATGGATTGTTAACCATGAGGGTCGGCAGTTCAAACCCACCAGCTGCTCCTCGGGAGAAAGATGAGGCTTTCCCACAGCAAATGGGGCACAGTAAAATCCAGGCCTGGCCACCATGTGTCTCAGGCCTCACACTGGGAGTCCCCTGCTCACCTTCAAGATCGCCTTCACAAACCCTTTTTCACCCTTAGGTTCAACTCTGGGTGTGGTTTGGGGAGAAATGGAGCTTTGCTCAATCTTCCAGGACCTTGCTCTGGTTCTCAACGTCTCTTGAGGTGCCAAGAAGCTCATCTGCTGTAGACTTTCTTTAGAAGTTCTCCTTTGTAGGATGGCTTATATCAGCTTCTCCCTGGAACAGAGTAATGAACCACACAGTCTCTCTGGGTCCTTCCTCACCCTTGGTTTTAGGAGTGGATGCAGTTGCAGACCCCAATATGTGAACCTTTCTCTCGATAATTGCTCTGACAACCATCCCGCCCACCTTCCTCTACCTCCTTGTACAGATTTTTATCGCAATTTGTTGTTGTTGTTAAATACCGCTGAGTCGGTTCTGACTCAGAGCGACCCTGTATAGGGTTTCCAAGGAGAGGCTGGTGAATTTGAACCACCGACCTTGCATTCAAGCTGACCTTGTGGTCCAGTGCGTTATCCCACAGCGCTATACTAAAACCTAGTAATAAAGCAAAATGAATAAAAACCATGAGAGCCACTACAGGGCACTCAAGAACCCCAGTGCTACCTGGTTGTAGTCCAAAGAGGCCAAAGGCCTCTCCATTGGATCATGTTCCTGCTTTGAACCCACTGAGAATATCAGGAACTCTTCATGTTTTGTTTTGGGTTATTTTTGGTAATGTTTTGGTATTGTTGAAAGTATAGACACAGCAGACACACACCAACCGTTTCTACATGTACAATTTAGTGACATTAGATTCTTCAAGTTGTACAAACATTCTCACCTTCCTTTTCCAAATTGTTCTTCCCCCATTAATGTAAACTCATGAATGCCTAAGTTTCCTGTGTGACCTTTTAAGTTGCCCCTGCCAATTTGATTCCACATCGAGACTTCTTCAAAAGAAGAATGATAATTCAGACATTATTTTTGTTTGCTGTGTTGCCCTTTTGATTTCTTGAATGGTTGGCCATTCCATGGGGAGCATACATTAGTAGGGATATTTCCTTCCCATAGACCTCTCTGCTGCTTGGCTGAGAATTTAGCCACAAGAGTAAGTTCAGTTACAGACCTGAAGGGTGACCAGGGTTTCAGGTTCCTCCAGTCTCTTTCTGACTAGTAAGCCTGGCCTTTTTTTTTCTTTTTTCTAATTTTGAGTTTTGCTCCATATTTTCTCCCACTCTACCCAGGATCTTTTAATACGATCTCTTTCAAAACAGTTGATAGTGTAGCAGGGTGCCCTCTTGTTTCTGGAGAGTAATGCTCTCATGTTACATCAGTCCCTTGGACTAATTGATTCCCAGTGTCTTTATTTCTCATCTCTCTTCTTTCCTCTGCATGTGCATAGAGAGGCCAATCGTTGTACTTTAGGTGGCCACTCATGAGCTGTTAAGACCCCAGTTGTTACTCACAAAAGTAGGATCTCAAACATTGTGTGTGGACTGTGATGTCAGCTGACAAAGTCCCCTGAGACTTTGGTCCTGAGCCCCCAGGCTTAGCACCTCATACCCTCAAGGTGTGCTTGATCATGTCCACGACATTTTCCTCAGTTTTCCCCCTGTATGCTCCACTGCATTCATGAATATGTTTGCAGCAAAGATAAATGCCCAGGTACAAAGAGCCTTTGTCAAACCTTTACATATTTGTGGGTTTCCTCCCATTTTCGTAAACGCATTCTTCACTAAATATGCTAACCTGGTCTTTGGCTTAAAGAAGACTTCAGGGGACATTTTTGGTTTAAGGTTTAAAAATTATTTCAGGGCAACAGTTGTAGGGTTTTGTCTAGCCCCAGGGCTCCAAAAAGTCTGGATTCCATGAGAATTTGGAATTCTCTCCCACATTTGGTCCCCTTTTGATCAGGATTCTAGTATAGAATGTATTTGTTGTTGAGAGTATCTACAGCAAAATATAAGGCCAACAGCAACAGTTTCTACATAAGCAATTCAGTGACATTGGTTCTTGTATAGAATCTTTGATCAAAATAGTCATGGTAGCTGGACACCATCAGGAGGCATGTGGGCATGCGTTCCATCTCCTCCTGCTGCTCCTGACTCTATCGCTCCAGACAAAGAGAGAACAATTGTACCTTGGGTAGCCACTTCCAAGCTTTGAAGACCTCAGTGCCAGCAGTTTGATACATTTCTTGTTCTGGGGTGGGTAAGTCCTGGACCTCAAGGAGCAGGATGTGTGTGCATAGGTGTGTATGCACAGCCAGTCACTGGAAAGGGATAGATGCCAGACCTGAATTCTGAGATTCCCTCTGGCAGCAGGTGGAGATAGTGCTCCCATGAGCTCCTTTGGGCCTTCATGAGGGCAGCATGGCCCGAGACTCATGGCTGATCCCTGCCACTCTTGACAGTTTCTGTAAGGGGCGGACATTGCATTCATTTGTGCGAGACCCCAAGACGTCCTTGGACATCAACAAGACGAGGCAGATTGCACAGGAGATCATAAAGGTAAGAGTAGCTTCCTTGTGGTGGAGGTGGGGCTGGCGGTGGGCTTCCAGGTGGCCTGAGAGCCTCTGGTCACCCGCTGCTCTGTCTGCTTCTCGAAGTTGGAGCCCTGTCCCTTTCTCTATGTCCCAGTCTCAGCTCCTTGAACAGGGAGAGTTTTGAAATCTAATTGGTTATGGAGAAACCTAGCAGGGTGCTTGGGAGAGAAGGCTTAAAAGACAGAGATGGTCTGAGTTTGAATCCTGGTCATACCAGCTGTGTGACCTTAAGCAAGTTGTTTAGCCACTCTGAGCCTCCGCTTTTTCCTCTGTAAAATGAGGATAACAACATGACTTCTCTCATTGGATTGGTGCAAGGATAAAAATGACAATACACAGAGAGTGTTTGTCATGGGTTCCCTAAGAGTTGATTAGGGACAATGATGAGGGCTTTGGGTGACGGACAGGTGTGCTACTCACAGGGGCTATGAAAGGACCTGCGCTATGAAAATTTCTGCATCAAGACTTCATGAGGATAGTCCTTCAGGCTCAAACCAGGCAGTCTCTGTCATCCTTCCCCTCTCCCCCCTGCCTGCCCCAAGTAATTTAATAAAAGAAATAAAGTGAGAGAAATAAATGAGAGACGAGCTCACCTGTCGTTTTATTAGACCGTGTTGCTGCTGTGACTCATCGTGGCCATGTACTAGGTTTCCAAGATTGTAATCGTTACAGGAGCAAAAAACCTCAACAGAAAGGCCCAAATCAGAACTAACTTCTGATTTCTTTCATTCTTTTTTTAAAATTGTTTTATTTGAGAAGCTTTTTTCTTACCAGTTCCCACAGTTCCCCCACTCCGCCTAATTTCTGTCTTTCTCTTCTCCCTTTTCTTCTATTTCTCCCTCCTCCCCTTTCTTTCTACATTCATTTCATTTGTATGCATGTGTTTCTTTAGAAAGAAAAAGATAAAAAAACAGGATGACATTTCTGCATATCACTTACGCATGGCTACACTAACAAATCAAATTTTTTGGAAACCTCAATCTCGCATTCATGTATTCATTTGTAGTCTCATTTCTAAGCTGTTAGAAGCAGAGAGGAGGCTCAACGTTACGTAGACTTCATTTTTTAAAAATGTTTTATTGTGAATTATGTGATAGTTTACATGGGACATTAGCTTTGCATTCACCCTATCGAATATCGTTATATTGCCATGGTTACAATCCCCTCCATGCATCATCAACCAATCAAATGGTATGCCCTGCAAGCCTGCCCCCTGGTCATCAGCACACAGTCCCTCTCCCTCTCTGGGTCCAGAGTTCCCAGCTGCTCCATCTCTCCATGTCATTGTCTCTGCTCCATCTCTGATGTCACTGTTTCTCTGGGTAGGGTCCCACATTCTGCTCTTCTCCCTTGATGGTCCCAGGGCCCTCCGTAGACTTCATTTTTGTCCCCAAACTTCTAGGCCCGGAACCCTTTTGTCTGCTTCCCCAAACCTTTCCTTTTCTTCTCAGTGGAACTCTGGTGGGGGTTTCTGTCTGGATGCCAGCCAGCTGAGTTAGACGGAGTCACTTGGAAGATTCCAGGGCAGAGGAGAAAAGTCGCTGAAAGGTTTTGGAGCTGCCAAACTGGAAACCGCCTCTCTGCTTTTGTGTTTGTGTTTTGTGCAGCTGGGAAACCACCCCTCTCCCTTCTGCCAGGAACTTCTGAGTCGCTTTTTTTGAGTTCTTCTCTCAGATGCTCTGGGGCTCAAAATAAATGGGTCTCGGCCCTTGGTTAGAGAATTTGCAGCTTTGGGGCATCTATAGAAACAGGACGAATTATGGGAAGGGAAAAGGATTTGTACTCCAGTCCTGGGTGCTTTGCATTGTGTCCCTTTAAACTGGCCTTTCAAGACGTGATGCCTGTTGTATAAGTGAGGGGCAGAGGCTCAGAGACGTACAGAAATTTGCCATCAGTTACACAGCTGGTCCCTGTTCAACTCAAAGTGGACACCGACCCTGTTTGACTATTTGTTTGGCTCCTTTTGCTTCAGTTTGATTTGGGAAATCAAGTCTTTTAAGAAGGTTATCTGGCATGCAGGACAGCATTTTAGAAGGAGTAATTTACTCTTTAAGGAGCCGTAGTGGCACAGTGTTTAAGCTCCTGGTTGCTAGTCATTAGGTTGGCAGTTCAAACCCACCAGCTATTTGCAGTTGAAAGATGAGGTGGTATGCTTCAGTAAAGAAACCCTATGGGTCAGTTAATACTACTATTATTCAAATTTATGCACTAACCACTAAAGCCAGTGATGATGAAATTGAAGAATCCTACTAACTTTTTCAATCTGAAATTGACCAAGAGGTATTAGTAATTATTGGTGATTGGAATGCAAAAGGTTGAAACCAAGAGGAAGGATCAATAGTTGGAAAATATGGCCTTGGTGATAGAAACGATACTAGCGCTTGCGTGATAGAATTTTGCAAGACCAGTGACTTATTAATTGCAAGCACCTTTTCAGACAACGTAAAAGATGACTCACCAGGTGGAATATGCAGAAATTAAATTGACTACACCTGTGGAAAGAGATGCTCGAAAAGCTCTATATCATCAGCCAAAACAAGGCCAAGGACAGACTGTGGAACAGACCATCAGTTGGTCATATGCAAGTTCAGGCTGAAGATGAAGAAAATTAAAACAAGTACATAAGAGTCAAAATACCTTAAACATAACCCACCTCAATTTAAATACCATCTCAAGAACAGATTTGATGCATTAGACACTAATGATTGAAGACAAGAGGAGCTGCGGGGTGACATCAAGAGCATCATACAGGAAGAAAGCAAGAAAGAAGGAAAAGACCAAAATGGATGTTAGAAAATACTCTGCAACTTGATCTCCAGCATAGAGATGCTAAAGCAAATGAAAGAAATGAGTACATGAAAGAACTGAACAGAAATTTTCAAAGGGCAACTCAAGAAGACAAAGTCAAATTTTATAATGAAATGTACAAAGGCATGCAGTTAGAAAACCAAAAGGGAAGAACACGCTCAGCATTTCTCAGGCTGAAAGAACTGAGGAAAATATTGAAGCCTTGACTTGCAATATTGAAAGATTCTATGGGCAAAATATTGAATGATGCATAAACATCAAAAGAAGATGAAAGAAATACACAGAGTCACTGTACCAAAAAGAAGTGGTTGATGTTCAACCGTTTAAAGAGTTAGCATATGAAATACTGTTGAAGGATGATGCTGCATGGAGGAGATTGTAATCATTGCAATGAAACGATGGTGTAAAGCCGATGTTCTCCATGTTCTCCCATGTAAACTATCACTCAGTTCACAATAAAAACTTAAGAAAAAAGAGTTAGCATATGACCAAGAGCCAATGTTACTGAAGGAAGAAGTCCAAGGTGCATTGAAGGTATTGGCAAAGAATAAGGCTCTGGGAATTGACAGAATACAAATTGAAATCTTTCAATAAATTGATGCAGCGCTGGAGGCACTCGCTCATCTATGTCAGGAAATTTGTAAGACAACTACCTGGTCAACTGACTGGAAGAGATCTATATTTGTGCCTATTTCAAAGAGAGGTGACCCGATGGAATGTGGAAATCATCAGACAATATCATTACTGTCACATGCAAGTAAAATTTTGCTCAAGATACTTCAAAAATGGCTGCAACAGTACATTGACGGGGAGCTAACTGCCAGAGGTTCAAGCTGGATTTAGACGAGGATGTGCAACGAAGGATCTCATTGCTGACATCAGATAGACCTTGGCTGAAAGCGGAGTGTGCCATGAAGATGTTTCCCTGTGCTGTATTGGCTATGCAAAGGCTTTCATCTGTGTGGACCATGACAAGCTGTGGACAACATTGCAGAGAATGAGTAGTCCAGAACATTTAATTGTGCTCATGAGGAACCTGAACATAGAATGAGACACTGAATGGTTTAAAATTAGGAAAAGTGTGGGCCAGGGTTGTATTCTTTTACCATACTTATGCCATCTGTGGAGTCCTTGTATAGCGCTGTAGGGGTAAGCACTGAACTTCAAGGTCCGTTTAAACTGCAAGTGGTGGCTCAGCCTCACCAGCCGCTCCTTGGAAACCCTATGCATGGGTGCTATGAGTCAGAACCAACTCAGTGATACTTCATAACAACAACAACATTCAATCTGTACACTGAGTAAATATTCTGAATTATTTGAAGAAGAACATGGCATCAGGGTTGGAGGAAGCTCATTAACAACCTATGATAGGCAGATAATGCAACCTTGCTTGCTGAAAGTGACAATGACTTAAAATACTTACTGATGAAGATCAAAGACCACACTAGAGATAGTACCTTAATGTAAAGAAAACAAAAATCCTCACCACTGGACCAATAAATAACATCATGATAAATGGATTGACATTTCAGATTTCATTTTGCTTGGAGCTACAATCAACATTCATGGAAACAGCAGTGAAGAAATCAAACAACTTATTAATAGGCAAATCTGCTGCACAAGCCCTCTTTAAAGTGTTCAAAAGTGAAGATGTTGAAACTGAAGATGCCAGTTTAAGGAGTAAGGTGCACCTGACCCCAAACCATGATAATTTCAGTAGCTTCATATACATGTGAAAGTTGGACAGTGAATAAGGAAGACCAGAGAAGAATTGATGCTTTTGCGTTATCGTGTTGGAGAAGAATATTGAAAGTACCATGGATTAGAAGCACAAACAAATTTGTGTTGAATAAAGTATAGCCAAAATGCTTCTCAGAAGCCAGGATGGCAAGACTTCATCCCTCATACTTCAGATGTATTACCAGGAGGGACCAGTTCCTGGAGAAGGACATCATGCTTGGTGAAGTGGAGGGTCAGCGAAAAAGAGGAAGGCCCCCAAGGAGATGGATTGGCACAGTGGCAGCAGCCGCGGGCTCAAGCTTAACGATTGTGAGGATGGCGCAGGACCAGGCAGTGTTTCATTCTGTTGTGCATAAGGCCCCTGTGAGCCAGAACGATTCAATGTCTTCTAACAGTAATAACAACATGGGGCGGTTCTACTCTGACCTTAGGGTTCCTGTGCGTCAACTCTATGGCGGTGGCTTTCCTTGTGTTTTGGAAGTTAGATTCTTTCTGGAACTCGCTGCTGCTACTGCAGAACAACACTGTTCAGCCTGCCTAAGGGAAGTGGCCACACTGGGCCACATTCTCCCAGCCTCCTCCTCAGGAGAGTCTGCTGACTGGCCTTGTCTAAAGTCCCTGCACTCTTCAGGCCCACTTGGACCAGGTTCTTGCTGGGACTTGAGTTCTGTCTGGTTCTGCCTCAAGGCCATTCTTTAGATTTTCTAAAGGCATCTTTTTTCTTCCAGCCCTCATCTTTTCATCCTCAACCTAAGATATCTACTAATTTTAGGGAGACGTAGCCATCTTGAGTGAAGCCCCATTGATGTGGGGAGATTGGGAAGTAGACCCATGTTTACCTCTGGGCTAGACAAATGTCTGATGAGTTTGGTGTCAGAAAACACCTCTGACCTTGGGTGAGCTCAGGCCTGTGTCAGGTCACCCATACCCCATACATATGGTCCATCATTGTTTAATCCAAATGGAACCTCAGGTAGAAATCACCATCCCAAGGCCTTTGCTCAGCAGATAAGGAAACAGGCTCAGCGGAGTTGCTCAGTACACCCAAGGCCACACAGTAAGTTAGAATTTGAGCTGAGATGAAATTTGGACCTAGATCGCAGTCTTAGTCTGGCTCCTCCTTCACAGCTGATGACCCTACCTGCCATGGAATTCTCCCATTTCCCCAGCTTGCAAAGCCTGATAGAGACCCCAACTCATTTAGGCCCTTTACTACGTCACTTTTATACATCCTCTCTTCCCCACCCACCACCTGCTCAATGCCACACTCCTCATTCTCATGGTATCCACTCCAAGATAGCTGCCTGGTAGCATGGTGACTTAGAAGGAGCACAGACTGGCCTGGGATCAGGCCTCCGCTCTGCTACTTAACTGCTGTGTGGTCTGAGGCGAGTAACTGTCCCTCTCTAAGCATATGTCCCATCTAGTGCATATGATTATGAAGCTTAAATGAGGGCATGTTGGTAAAGCACACAGCCCAGTGCCTGACTCAGTCCTCACTCTTCCAAGTCCAGCCTTTCCTCCCACCTGACAGGAAGCTTGCTGTCTTCCAGGGTATGGGATATCTCCATGCCAAGGGCATCGTACACAAAGATCTCAAATCCAAGAACGTCTTCTATGACAATGGCAAAGTGGTCATTACAGACTTTGGACTTTTTGGGATCTCAGGCGTGGTCCGAGAGGAACGGTGAGTTAACATTGGGCATCTGAGAGAGACAGGGAGGGAAGAGCAAGGAGCCGCGTGGGGCCGTGAGGGTTAGCCAGTGTCGGGTTAGCTGAGGTCTCTGGCCATCCTATGGGAAGGAAAGGCCAGGTTTGCTTGGACCCTGCTTCAGGTACGGGTGAAGTACAGGTTCCCCATAGCACTTGAGTCTGTGGTATGGGAACCTCAGGGAGGCTAGCTCCCACCCCTCATACCCAACTTCCAAGTCAGTCTGTCTGTCAGCCAGCTTGGGCCAGAGACTAAAAGTTCACATCCCTTCCATGAGGTGGTGCTGAGTTTTCTTTACCCCAGCTGTTGAAAGGGAGAAAGACTCCTCCCCAAACATCTAGGGTACCACAGGAAGGAGCATGAGACCAGTCCTCAGGCCAGGTTGGGGATCAATAGGCAGATCTGATTTCCTGAAGAGAGCTCTCTCACCACCAGCGACAGCAAAGAATGTCAGACCCCTTCAAGTGCGGTCCCTGCCAATACTCATTTTGGGCTGCTTTCCTAGAAGAAGTCTGGTTGTCACCCAAATAAAACAGTTCCCCAAAAGTTGGTGCCTTTGCAAGTGCAGGCTCAGGGTGCTACATTCTGGGTACTAAGTCATGCAAGGGAGGCCTCTGGCCCAGAGCAGACGTGTGCCAGGCAGGCCTTTGCTGTGACTGCAAGACCTCCTGTTCTTGTCCTGGCTTCTTGGCCTTCAGGCGTGAGAACCAGCTGAAACTGTCACATGACTGGCTGTGCTACCTGGCCCCTGAGATTGTGCGTGAGATGACCCCTGGAAAGGATGAGGACAAACTGCCGTTCTCCAAAGCTGCTGACGTCTATGCATTTGGGTGAGGCTCTGGCAACTAACTGTTGGGGCAGGAGAGGTGTGTTTTAGGGGGTTTAAAGCCAAGCTCTGGAATGAAAACAGATCTGGCTCTGAGTCCTATCTCTGCCATTGCGTGTTCCTAGCATTGCAATAGTCAGCATGAACCGGGGCCACCTGGGAGCTCAGGCTATGTGACTTGGTCTCCACAGGACTGTTTGGTATGAGCTGCAAGCAAGAGACTGGCCCTTTAAGAACCAAGCAGCTGAGGCCTTGATCTGGCAGATTGGAAGTGGGGAAGGAATGAAGCGTGTCCTGGCCTCTGTCAGCCTAGGGAAGGAAGTCAACGTGAGTAGCCACCTGCTCCCGAGAGGGGTGTGGGACTAGAGAGTGGGGTTGGGGCATATCATAAGGCTGCCCCCCCCTTTTTTTTTACCACCTAAGAAATGGCCCTGGGGGGAAGCTCTGCCACCCATAGGTTCCTAAATTAGAGATGAAAAACAATACACCTTTGTGGAAAATGAAGGAGAAAACAGCAAAAACCTACGGAGAATCTAGAGCCGTTCAGTATCCCACTGTTAACTGTTTTATTTCCTTTTAGTCTTTTTTCTTCTTTTTTTTTTGAAGTAATCATTTTTTAATTTAGTTATGAGATAGAAAGATAGTAAAGCCCTGTATGCTGCTTAAATAAAAGAAGACTTAAAATAATTACTGCACAAAATACCAACGGCGGGGTTATGCCATGGTGTCAGATCTTTCTTCATAATTCTTTTCTTAACCGTTCGAGAACAATCGAAGATTCCAAGGCAAATTTGTTTACTAAGTGCTGAATCGTAATAGTAATATGACTGCTGGCTTCACATTTCTGAACACCTTCCATGGTTTCTCCTTCTTGCAGTTGTAAGTTTCCTTGTCACGGCATAGTTCAGATAAGGAAACCCAGAGGATCCATTTTTTCCATGTGATCTGTGGTAACCGTGCGTTCAGGAATCAGATTTGTTGTTATTGTTAAGTACCATGGAGTTGGTTCTGACTCACAGTGACCTTGCACAGGATTTCCGAGGCTGTAAATCTTTACAGGAGCAGAAAGCCTCATCTTTCTCCCACAGAATGTCTGGCTGTTTCAAACTGCCGACCTTGAGGTTAGCAGCTCGATTCGTAACCACTACACTACCAGAGCTCAGATAGGATGGGGCAAATAGGCTTATGAGTAACTTGATATTAATAAGTAACTTCAGTCACATGTGGGTGACGTAACCACAGGAGTGTTGGGCTTTGAGTTGCGTATTAAAAGCCTGAACAATATTGGCAGGATCATTGTTTGCAAACCCTGGGTCGGGCACCGTGATGAATTCAGCCTTATCTTCCTCCAAGATCTTAATACTTTCCTTAGTTGTGTAGTAGCCAGCAGCTGGGCATCTGCAGAAGGCTCGTTTATGATTATGTCATATTTGAGGGTGTATTTCACTGTGGTGCAGGTGCCAGATGACAATCTGGTTGAAGTGCCAAATATTTGTACAGGTGTGTCCTTCATGGATGATGCTAAAGCGCTAGTCCAAAGCAGCAACCGCCAGCTGGTTTGTTTTTTTTTTTTTGCTAGTCAGTACCACATCATCTTGGACCTCGCAAAGACGCTGTGTGGCATAGTAGAGCTGAAGGATCAACACCTCCTCATTACTTTTGGGTTCACCCTTTCTTGGCCTCCTTCTGAGCCGATGTCAAGTCAAATGCCACCTTCACGATGGCATGGTCTTGGTCACTCTTGGCAATCCAAGGCAGGGGCTGTGGGCTTGTTGGCAAGGTCAAGATGTGTTTGAAAACTACATCTTTTAAAAACTATCATACCATAACATTTTTATTATCATTATCTCAAATCTTTAACAAATTCCTATTTTTAAACCTGTCTCCTCTTTTGTCCTATGGCTGTACTTTAATTACTTCTCTGTCATTGGGTATTTAGGTTGTGTCCAATACTTACCTTTTGCAATAAAGTTATAAAGATCATCTTTATATAAACCCAGAGTATGGGTATTGGTTTTATCTGAAAGAAAAACGTCTCTTTGGCAAATTGCTCTTTTGGCAGACCTCCTGGTTACCTGTCTGCAACTTACAGACTTGGAGCAGATAGCTAAGTGCTTCCTTCAAGGGAATTAGGCTTGGAGCTGGGCCCAGAGCACAACAGAAAACTGGAAGGGAGTTAGACTTAGCTCTGGCTACACTTCGGAATCTTCTGGGAGCTTTTATAAAATGCCAGTGCCAGGGCTTCACCCCAAGGATGCCTATTTAATTGGTCTGGGACACAACAAAGGTCATTGTTAATTTTTAAAATGTTAAGTAAAGTTCCTTAGCTAATTCCATTGTGCAGTCAGAGTTCTGAACTAATTGGCTAGAGATCTGGGAGGATTTCTTAAAGTACCCAGTTAAGGAGTCTTTTTTCTAAGCTTTTGAAGAATAGATTGGGAGTTGGGGTGGGGACAAAGAGAAAATGTTAACAGCAGCCAGTTTCTGGCTCATGAGAGTTGTTTTTTCTTTTGAACCTGTTGCTGTTAGGGGAGTGCCATTGGCCAGTGGTAACACGAGTGATTTTGAATTATCGTCAAATGCAGGCAGGGCCACTGGATGGCAGCTGACTAAGTGATAACATACATTTGCACAGGTATGTCTTAGATGGCAGTTGCCATTCAGTGGGCACACCCTGCTTTGACTACAATTCAGAATCATTTTCTATTATTTTTGGCCAATGACTCTCACTCTCCCTTACCAATAGCAGTTTTGTTCTGTTGTACGTAGGCTTGCTAAGAGTTGGAAGTGGCTGGCACCTAACAATAACATGTAACAGCTGTTAGCGCCTTCTGCTCCAAGCTTGTGAGTGTGCTGAAAGGGACCTGGGCTTGTTACCAGGAAGACAGCTTACTGAGGGTATTTTTTCCTTCCTGATAAAACCAGCGTGTATACTTAGTCTGCTTTATACAAAGCAATGTGTGTGACTGTGTGTGTGTTTGTAGTTGGGTTTACAGTTTTGCACTGTTTTATGTGACAGCCACAGTGATTTAGTCATTTTATCCGAGTAATGCATGCACATGGACAGACATTAAAAGGCCAGAAAGGTTCTTAAGAAAACCAAGAGGCCCTCGCTCCACGCCTCACCAAAGGTACTGTTTCTTGTGCCATCAGCTCTTTACTTCCTGTCAGTCTGCTCCTTCCCGTGCACATCAGTTTCTCCTTTATTTTTGTATACAGCTTTTGAGGCTGTAAATCTTTGCAGGAGTAGAAAGCCTCATCTTTCCCCCACGGAGCAGTTGGTGGGCTCGAACCATTGACCTTGTGGTTCCCAGACCTTATCCTACAGTGATACGGTGCTCCCTGTTGGCTGTTATAAACAATAAATGCTGTTAGCTGCTACTCAGGTCATTTCCTTAGGATTACAGTTTCTTTGGGGATCCGTCTCAAAGACTGACCTTAATTTTGCTCACTTCACATGTGGACACTATCCTTCTTGTGCAGTTGTAGGTTTGCCCTGGAGTTTTTACTTGCCTCTCTTTTCTTCATGATAAGAGAAGAAACAAACACCTTCATCGTTTTCTTGAGCTCTTATATTTCTTTCCACATTCTGCCTATTGAATCTATACCATTATTCTCAGAGGCAACTGCTTTTTCAAATCACTGAATCATTGGGATTTATTGAGTAATTGTTATCATGACTAATTGTGACAGTCACAATTATAAAGGTAGTTTTGTAACAAAATTGGGGGAGTAGTTAATCTTATAGTCCAGAAACAGAGGACCCTAGGACCATCAAGGGAGAAGAGCACAAGCAGAATGTAGGACCCTATCCAGAGAAACAGCTGCACCAGAGATGGAGGCAGAGATGGGGACATGGAGAGAGGGAGCAGCTGAGGACTCTAGATTCATGGAAAGAGAGGGACTGAGAGCTGGTGGCCAGATGGCCGGCTTGCAGAATGTGCCCTTTGGTGGTGTAAATTATTATATATGCCTGAGTGTTTTGTTTTTTTTTTAAAGCTAAAATGAATAGAGAGAAATACTGTTATCTGATGGTACATGGAGGGGACTGTAATCATTGTAATGAAACAAAGTATATGATTTGTTGAATGTAAAATTGATAATCTGCCCTGTAAACTTTCTCTCAATTCACAATAAAAACTTAAAAAAAAAAAAAGTATACGCCCTGGTGGCACAGTGGTTAAGTGCTCAACTGCTAACTGAATGTGAAAGGTCAGTGATTCAAACCCATGTCCTTGGAGAAAGATGAGGCAGTCTGCTGCCCCAGTATTTACCACCTCGGAAACCCAATGGGGGCAGTCCCACTCTGTCATTCCCATAGGGTCACTGTGGGTCATAATCCAACTCAGTGGCAACAGATTTGGTTTTAGTTATCAAAAACTCGGTCCACAATTGGGGAGCATTTCCTTCATTTGCTCTCCTAGTACTTATAAATAATGTTTTGTTTTAGAAATGGTGTTTTAAATTCAACTACTTCTGTATATTTTTATCTTTGTTTAAATTTTTTTTTTTTATTATTGTGCCTGGTCTTACTACCTGTAGTAGCTTATAGAGGCTTTGTTTTCCCCTCTGTCCATTACTTCTGTTGATCCTTGGCTTCCTGCTGGTCCCCCCACTGCCCCAAACATAGCAGGAGACTCTCTGGGGTCCAGTCATTGTTAAGAAGGAAATGCTGAGTGTGGGTTCTAAGCAGATGTGCACTTTCTGCGCTGTCCTGGGAGCACTTTCTTTAGGCCTGTTTTCTCCCCAGTAGTTCTGAGTAGGAAGGCAGAGGGGCAAGCAGTATATATGAATGGATCCTGGGAGCCATGGCAACCCCATGCACAAAGGAGTGAGATGCTGCCTGGTCCCAGGCATGATGGGTTGTGGATTGGACCATTGTGATCCGTAGGTTTTCATTGACTGATATTTACAAGTAGCCCACCAAGCCTTCCTTCCTAATTCATCTTAGTCTGGAAGCTCTGCCGAGATCCATTCATCATCATAGCATAGCAACATGCAAGCCTCCACTGACAGAGAGTAATGGCTGCAACGAGATGCCTTGGTTGGTAATCTGAGGGGGTACGCAAGCTCTGGAGTCAGAGGGCTTTACGCTGGCACCAGCACCTGTGCAGTGGTGCTGGTCATCCCGGGCAGTGGGTCTGGGGTCACTAGGACATGTGTTCTACTGACTCTACGATGCCTCCAATATTGAGTTCTTGTCACTTGCAGCCTCCATACTTGCTAACGCCGAGACTCTCACCTCCATCACCTCTCCATTCACGCCTATTCTGAGCATCTTGTATTTCACCTGGCAAAACACTTCCTTCTACTTTCCATCTTCTGAAAAATCGCTGGTCTCCATTTCTGATCTTTGCCATTACCAGGTCTAGTCAGCTTTAAACTGTGTTACTGTTGTTCTGTAGGGTCTAAGAAGGAAGGAGCAAAGCACATCCAGGTGCTTCATTTTAAGCTGGAAGGACCAGATTCCTCTGAAATAGTTATTCCCCCGTCCTACTCCAGGCTTGTCTCCTTACTGTTCGCAGATTGTTCAGGGGGCCTTCAACTCAGGCGGTGACTGGAAGCATCCAAAGGGCTCTGTGTGGAGGACCTCAGCTGTGCCCACTGTGGCTTCTAGCCAGCATGGGCACCCACTAACACCAGCTCCATTTGCAGGAGATCCTGTCTGCCTGCTGGGCATTTGACCTGCAGGAGAGGCCTAGCTTCCCCCTGCTGATGGACATGCTGGAGAAACTGCCCAAGCTGAACCGGCGTCTCTCCCACCCTGGGCACTTCTGGAAGTCAGCTGAGTAAGTACTTGGGAGGTCAGAACTTGTAGGCCAGGCCCCTCCAGTTCCACTCAGGCTCGTAACTGGCCCCCTTTACTCTATCTGCCCAAGACTTGGGTCTGGGAAATCGCAGAGCTGACTGACCAGAAGGCTGGCCCCTTTGATCCAAGTGATATTAGGATTTAATTTGCCAGGTTTAACTTAAGACTCCTGTTGACTGTTAAGTGCCTCCAGTTTCCATCAGTAAAAACTACATCTCACTAATATCAGACCAGGGCAGAGTGGGCAGGAAGAATATGCTGAAAAGGTGGCAGGACGGGGCAGCTGAAGTAAGAAAGATATGATCAGAGCCCGGATTGTTCAAAGTAGTGCAGACTCAAAGACGGAGCTGTCTCAAAAACTCAGCCACCCCTTAGGGAAACCACATCACTTGGGGTTTACATGGTACTTTGAAGCTGGAAGTCCTCCTCCTGTTTAATCACACCCACCCTTGGGCAGGGGTGGTCTCCACTGGACAGTGGAGGCCAAGACCATCTCTCCTGTGTCTGTCTCACTCCCTTGTCTCCTTGTCCCACTGTCCACTCTACCAGAACACTCAAAAAGAGGCCTCGCCCTGCCACAAACCCCTTGTGATAATCTGAAGAAATTTTCCATTTTTCTGGGCCTCAGTTTCTCATCTTTTAAAAAGTGGGAGTGGGCTAGGAGCCGGGGTGTGCACACATTTTCTGAAGGGTCTGGTGATAGACCTTTTTGACTTTGCACACCGGGAGGCCCATTTGGGCAATACAGTACCACTGTGGTTTGTAGTAGAGTGAACACCCAGGGTGGGCCCTGCTGCCAGTCCTCAGATCTACCCATGTAGAAAGAACTAATGATTTGGGCCAGTTTGAGGACATGACAGTTTCAGGTTAGGGACAACCTTATTTTACAATAAATTCATATATACACTGTTTGACTCATAAGGTAAGTCAGAGTCCAGCACAAATGGGGGTGGGGAGGATATCAGAATATTGTCCTTAGAAGTATATGAATACACACTTGGGGACACACAGATGGCCAGGGCTCAGCTCTGCCAGCAGGGAGTTTATGGTCTAATAGAGTAAAGAGAAGCAGACACTGTAATGAAACTTCCAGGTAGGCAGAACTCGGTCTTGTTTACCTCTGTTGTCTTTGCTGCTATTACAGTCCCAGGAACATAGTAGTTGCTCAGTAAACATGGAACGAGTGAATGATTGCAGTGTGCTGAGTCCCACATAAAAGCCCAGGACTCTGTGTTCTGTAACTACCCAGCGCGTCTCACCCACCTGAGGGCCCCAGGAAGGCTCTCTGGAAGGGAAGGGTCGGTGGAGTGGGAACTGTCCAGACAGGCCACAGCACGGGCTTCTCCGGGACATGCAGACAACTCAGGGACAGTGTTGCGAGGTGAAGCCCACTGCTGACCTGGTTCTGATGGTCCTGGGCTTCTTTCTCCCCCGTAAAGACAAGGTGGCACTCACTGAGTCCTGACATTCAGGTGATCATTCTGGACCTCCTGATGACCAGTCAGCCCATCTTCTCACTTCACAGGTGGGGAACTGAGTCACACAGCGGGGTTCTTATCTGCTCAAAGGGATTGCTTCTAGCCCTGAAAGGAAAGTACACCAGCATACATACCTAAATGAGTCTGTCGGAAGCTGTGTTCATGATTTTGACTTTCTGCACATTCAACCTCTAATGCTCATTTTCTCTTTTCTTTTCCATTGGCCTTGCTTTTTTATTTTTGGGGGGTGGTGGGTGCCCTGGCTTGGCCATTCACCTCCCTTTTCCCACCATCGTGATCCCTGTGGCCCCTGATGCACCGGCCCCGGCGCTCTCACCGTGGGCCTCTCACCGCCTGGACTGCGTTCTTGCCACCTGGCGAAATGGGCGTGGGCACTCCCAGTCGCTGCCGGAGCCGCTACTATGGGAAAGGACGTTACGGTCACCCTGACTTTAAGAACCGCTGTCCGGTTCTGGAGGAATAGTGTGTTTTCTGTTATCTCCCTCATTCTCCTGCGTGTTTGCTGTTATCCCACTGTGCATCCTGCTTCCTCTCTTTGCATCCCGGCTTCATCCTCTGTGTTTGATGCTCATAAACCAAAGTGACATTCAGCTGAAATGACTGAGAGAAGACCTTTTATCCATGCAGCCTTGTCATCAGACAGCTGGCTTCTCTCTGGTAGAAGAGAACTTGGGTCACTGATCTGAGTCCCCAGATTCTCCTCTGGTCAGAGCTCTGAAATAGGGGATCCAATGAGAAAAGTAATAAGCTCTCAGAAGTACATTTCCATAGTTAGTTGGTAAGGAGCGAGGAGTGGATTAGCCAAACACTAGTGAGCACTTTCTTCATAAGCAGTTGTGGGAGAGTTTGGAGAAGGTTCTTTGTTCCCAGACTCCTAAGCTTGCACAGTTGTCAAGCCCAGAATGTGGGCAGAACATGGCCTTTCTCTTCCTTCTGGGAAAGGGCTAGCCGGGCATCTACGGCTTACCTCCGGCTCCCTCTGGAGCTGCTGGTTCTGACGCTGCCTCTCCCTTCTTCTCTTCCCTCCTGTAGGTTGTAGGCCTGACCGCCTTGCATGCACCCAGGGCTTTCTTCCTCCTAATCGACAACTTGGGACCGGCACCTCTGCTAAAACACAAAACGAGACGCGGGCACTAACCCAGGGGATGCAATCTCTGCTGCTCCAGTCCTCTCTGCAAGACTTCTTCCTTTGCTTTGTTTGTTTTTCACCAACCGCCCCCCTCCCAACCCCAATGGGGCTTGTGTGTGGCTGAGTAACCGCTCTTGGCAGAAAGACCCCCCTACCCACTAACAGAGTTCCCTTCCGCGAGGTTCCAGCAACTTTTGGCAACCTTCCTGGACACGACTTTTACTTCTTTCCCTTTTTGTTCTCTGTGGGGTGATTTGGGTTTTGTTTGGATAGTGCTGTCTCACAACAAACATCTTAGTGAGATGAAATCCCACTCCCTGAGGACACAGCCTCCTGCGGGGTGTGTTCCTTAGAGCAGGAAGTGGGGAGAGGGTTGTTTGGCTTTTAACCCATGGGCATCTTGTCCAACAAGGAGTGAAATGAATTTAGAGCTGCCCTATAAACCAAGATTGTGGTTCCAGGGACCCCATTAATCCCTCAACCCTCTGTAGTCTACCTCTGGGAGCTGTAGACACAAAAAGTCCTATTGCCCTAAAAGACACTAGCTCCAAAAGACTGCACCCTCCCTCAGAAAACTTTTCCTAAAGCAAAGGAGTTGTTGCTGTTGTTGTTATGTGCCGTGGAGTCGGTTCCAACTCACAGCGACCCTGTACAGGGTTTTGAGGCTGTAAATCTTTATGGGAGCAGAAAGCCTCATCTTTCTCCCTTGGAAAGCAAAGGAGTACTTGTCTCCAGTTTCATGAGTAAGGACAAAGCTTTCGTCTTCCTGCCTTCCCACAAAATTACCTTTCCGTCTGCCCCGCACACCATAGACCCTCATGGCAGCTGTCAATGAGGGTCTGACTCTCCGGCCAGGGGCATCAGTCACTGGAGGTGAACTAAATGCAGATCTCTGGGCCCCACCCCGGACTTAGTGAATCCAGAACTGGGATGGGGAGGAAGGTTCTAGACACCTGCATTTCACTCAGCTTCCCAGATGACCTTGATAGATCCCAAAGGTTGAGAAACATTTTTTAAAAGGAGCATGAGATCTTACTCTCAGTGCTGATGGTCAAGTTTTATCTTTCCTCACTTGCATTCGGAGCAAGAGCAAATGAGAAACCAGTTCTGATGCACCCACAACAGATACTGAGCTTGTTGGGTGCCTGGAGTTCAGAGATGAGTGGATAAATGTCCCTGCCCTCCAGTCGTAGATGACCCAGGACCGGGACTTAGCCCCTCCATCTGTGCTCGACAGTAGCTCTCTTATGCTATTAGCTGTCACTTTCACTTCTTGGTGGGTGACCAGACCCTTCGCTAATAAGTTTCTGGAACTGACCTGCTCCTTAGCTAGTGTTACCCTGCTTCTGATTAAGATCAGCAAGGGTATAACCTTTGTTTTTCTTCCTCTTTGCAGCATTAACAGCAGCAAAGTGGTGCCCCGGTTTGAAAGGTTTGACTTGGGCGTCCTGGAGTCCAGTAATCCAAAGATGTAGCCAGGTGTTTGGTTTTTCTGCTGTGGTTTGTTTATTTGTGTTTCTAAGACATCTAAACGACCAACCACCATGACAAAAATATCAGCCACCCTCCCAAATCTGCCCAGCACTGCAAACCAGGAGCACGAGTCTGCGATTCTGATTGCTCATCCACAAAAACACTTGGGTCCTGTGGAGATGGAGTTGCACCTGCTGCTGCCTAAAACGATGCCACCAACAACCAAACCTGTCCAGACAGACAGCAAATGTTTACATGTACATCTCTGCTGCGTGAACTTGATGTTTTACAATAGGTAATAATAAAGATGGCCGGTGTCCATGCACCGCCCACTAGGATGATGGAAGTGGCCATCCCTTCTGATAGCCAGAGCAAGAAAAGCGTCATTACTGTTGCTCTTCCCAGGCAGGGCTGGGGGGAGCACCAGTTCCTTCTCTAGGTGTCCCCCCATGACCCCATCAAAGGGATGCTGTCCCTTCTTCATCTTACAGAGGAAACCCTGACGAGCTGAGGTAACATAGAGGATCAGGAGGTCCTGGTCAGCTGGGGTTCCCTCTGACCTTGCAGTCCAGCCTGTACCTGCTGGGAAAGCAGAAACAGAATCCAGTCTAACTGCTGGATGTATCAGTGGCTCGTAAGGAGGGTTTCATCTGCAAGTGGAGGAAGCATCTGCATTCCTGTAGAGATGGGTTTCTTTCATGAAGCGCCCCTCCCACTCCCACCCCAAAGAAACTAGCAAGGAGATGAGACATAGACCCACGTGTTTCAGATACAGCCCAGCCCCAGACTGACCTTTGAGCCCAGAGCCAGCTCAGCAGTCCTATGTGTCATGAAGTCTGATCAGCAAGAACAAGAACGGGCGAGGGAGAGAGAAGTAGAAGGC